ACATGTGTATTTGCGTGTTTCGTCTACATACGTGACGAATTTTTTAGAACTCCGATAACAAAAAAACTGATCCATTTTTGAAGAAAGGATAGTAGATCTGGGGGAGAAAGTACTAGCGGTCAGCTGCCGATTACTTTCACCCATGCATTCATCATTTATGCTTGGAATTTTGCAACACCAGTTTTACTATACTCTTTTTTTACTTCAGATTTTCAGCTTACCTCACGTATTGTTATTCTTCCGAACTGAAAATTCCCGTACTTTTCCAGCAGCCGTGAGACATCCATCGTTTCGATCGATCCTTCCTGAAATAGGTACTCTTTAACACCAACGGAAGTATCAATATGAACATATTATAGTGGACACTTCAGACATTTGCATATCCAGAGATTGGTATTTTGTGAAGTCCAGCATTAGCACAACTCCCCCTGCGTCTGTGGCAAACTATTAGGTTTTTTATAATAATATTTGTTTTCTCTTGGGATTGTTTAATGGTTTACCGTAGAATTATAAATGTTATAAGTACTTGAAGGCCGTATAAATGCCAATGGATCAGTGTGTACATCTAACATTTCTTACAAAAAATACAGGCTGCCAGATGCTAGGGCATAAGGTTTAACTGAATATCTAAGTTACTAATATTACACAAAGAGTTATCTCAGGCGAGATAGTGATCAAATAAAAAAACAAACCGCATATTTGACATTGAGAAGTGTCATGTGTAGCTTCACAGACTTCTCTTGGAGCGCGAATCCCGCATCGCTCATCGCGTTCGCTATTGCATCCGTGAAGTCTTGAAGCCTGGAAATAAGGAAGGTCATATCCACGTATTCCACGCTTATCACACGACTATACTGGTTCTCCAACTTTGCTTGAAGTGAAGACTAGACCAGTCTGGTCTAGTCTGGACGAGGCTGGATCAAGTTCGGGCTAAACTAAGCCATATAAAGGAGCTGGAGTAGTTATATGGTGATAATGAGACATGGTCAGCCCTCACTAATAGCTCTACACGCAGGTGCTGTGATATTTATGTTTTCACAACCAAGAGAAACGGGAACGATGCTTGTTGTATCAATGACCATGAAGAATAGTGAAATCTGTGAATAAGACTAACCTGCCCGACGATACGCATGCATAGAGCACTCGGGCATGCGTCGGATCGTTATTCATTATGTCGAGTCCTCCAATTTCAGCTTCCAAAGGCTGGCCTGCCAGGATTTTACTGAAATTTAAATATTCACTCTAGAAATGAATCTAGCGTATCTGGGTTTTTCGTAGCACTATTAAACAGTATGTCCTAGCAGCGTGTAGACTTCTAGCGCTAGGTTGCATTTTCGTTTTTTAAGAGTCATTAGTGATAAGCTGCCAGCAAACAGCATCGCTTATTATCTCGAAAAAATTATGCCATTTTCGCCAAACGGGCCTATGCCAGTACCAATTTATCATTAAATAGGATGAATAAGTCGCAGGGGAGTGATTGTCCCACTGGCTAAATGGAATTCTTGTCCTTCAGCACAAGAGCATTGTTTCTTCTCACTAAACCATACCCATCATATTTAGGCAACTATCTGGCACCATCTC